AGAAATGGTACATGGTATTTGGGAAGAACACTTGGTTTTAGAGTCCTTGGTTCTAAATTCTAGTTCAGCCACCTTTTTTAGGTCTCTTTTCTGTCCCCCGAGTCTATGCCTTTATGTTCTGTTGAACCTCTAAGATTTTATGAGTAATCTGTAAAATGTATATAAAGTATGACATGATAAGTAAATGTTAAGATCCTATAGTTCCATAATATTGATGATGAAGGGTATAGAGTCATTGATCAATATGAACGGTAAATATCTTTAGCACAATTGGTCATGTTTCAAGGATTTTTTTTTTTCTTCTTCTTCTCCAGTCAAAGTAACAACTGAGCCTTCCCCTCAAAGGGAAATTCATTTTGTACTAGCGATCATGTTTATAACTGTGACTAACTGTGCCAACTAGGCAGACAAAGCCACACTGATGAAATACATGGAGCGCATTTCTTCTAACTTGAATGACTTGAACTTTTGGTATGTTGGGAAAGTCATTTCATTTATGATCTAAATTGCTGGGGAAATTTCCCAGGCTTTTCCAAGCATGGTTAACTTGCTGAACCACATGGTTTTGCTTCAGACAAATAACCCCATTAATTACATGTTTGCATATTTCATGGAGTTCCCATTGTCTTAAGGTCTGGAGCTACATCAGTATACAGTGTGGGCATGGCTAGCACTGAGCGTGATGCCTGGGAAATCTCATGGGACCAAGAAGCATTTGATATATAAGTGAAAGGGCTTGTTGTTGTTGTTCAGCCACTGAGTCACTTTCGTCTCTTTGCGATCCCATGGACTATAGCACGCCAGGCTTTCCTGTCTTCTACTATCTCCTGGAGTTTGTTCAAATTCATGTATGTTGAGTTGGAGATACCCTCTTCTCTTCCTGCCTTCAGTCTTTCCCAGCATCAGGGTCTTTTCCAGTGAATCGACTCCCTGCATCAGGTAGCCAAAATGTTGGAGCTTCAGCTTCAGCATCAGTCCTTCCAATGAATATTCAGGGTTGATTTCCTTTATGATTGATTGGTTTGATCTCCTTGCAGTCTAATAGGATATATAAATAATGTTTGTTTGTTATAAATAATGTTTGTTTGTTTGTTTGTTTTCAAGAAACTTAACCATAATCCCAGCCAGAGCAAAGTTATTCTAGCAACATCTGGACCATCCCTCATAGATGTTCTTTTCTAGGACTTTATTGGCATGTTTCTCATTCTTAGGAAATAGAATTTAAAGTGATGAGCTTTACAAAATCTGTCTTTTTATAAATATATAACTTTATAAAGTTAAAAGTTTTTATATAACTTTTTAATATAACTTTTTTATAAATAACCAAGAAAAATAAAAAATAAATAAATAACCAAGAAAATCCCACCCAAAGGCTGTTTTCACCTTTCATTTTTTAAAAACCATATTTCATATTAATAAAAATTTTGGATATTTACATTCCACTTAAGTACCATCTTGTCATTTTTTTTCTGTTAATAGGTCTTGGGTTGTTTTGTTTTTTCTTTGGACACACTGCGAAGTTGTAGGATTTTATTTCCCTGTTGTTGTTGTCCAGGCACCCAGTCGTGTCCGACTCTTTGTAACCCCATTAACTGCAGCAGGACTCAACCCTGGGCGCTCGGTGGTGGGTGTGTGGAGTCCTAACCACTGAACCGCCAGGGAATTCCCAGGTTCTCTCTCTCTTTTTTTAAATTGTTCTAAACAGAGAGGTCAGCACATTTTCTTGCAGGGTAGATAGTTTTTATGAGCCTTACAGCCTCTGTTGCAGCACCTCACTCCTGCTGCTGTTGCACCAAAGCAGCCAGAGTCAAGATACGATAAACAAGGAGGCTGGCTGAGTTCCAGCAGCGCTGTTTATAAAAGCAAGCAGCCTTCTCCAGCCCCTTCCACTGTGATGAACATCCTCCTGTGTTTAGTGTTTTGTTTTTTTTTTTCATTCATGTGTATATGATGCTTTCAACAAGGTTATCTGAAAAACTCTTAAAGCCTTGTCAGATAACTTTTTTTTTTTAATTGGAGGAAAATTGCTTTACAATGTTATTGGTTTCTTCTGTACAGCAATGCAAATCGTCATAATTTTATACATAAAACCCCTCCCCACGTGGGACTTCCCAGGTGGCACTAGTGGTGAAGAACCTGCCTGCCAATGTAGGACCTGTAAGAGACGTGGGATCAACCCCTGGGTGGGGAGGATCCCCTGGAGAAGAGCATGGCAACCCTCTCCAGTGTTCTTGCCTGGAGAATCCCATGAACAGAGGAGCCTGGAGGGCTATAGTCCATGGGGTTGCACAGAGCCAGACACAACTGAAGCGACAGCCCACAAGCCCTCCCACATGAGCCTCCCTCCTCTCATCCAGCCCTGTAGGTCATCACAGAATGCCAGGCTGGGCTCCCTGTGTTATATAGCAACTTCCCATCAGCTGTCTATTTTATGTTCAATGATGGGTATATAGATGTCAATGCTACATTCTCAATTCATTCCACCCTCTCCTTCCCCTGATATATACACAAATCTGTTCTCTATGTCTGTGTCTCCATTTCCTTCCCCGCAAATAGGTTCACCAGTATTATTTTTCTAGTTTCCATAGATATGTGTTAATGTATGGTATTTGTTTTTTTTCTGACTTAACTTCACTCTGTATAACACGCTCTGAGTTCATCCACCTCACTAGAACTGACTGTTCCTTTTTATGGCTGAGTAATATTCCTTTATATGTATGTACCACATCTTCTTTATTCATCTGTCAGTGGACATTTAGGTTGCTTCCATGTCCTGGCCGTTGTGAATAGTGTTGCAGTGGAGATTTCGGTGCATGTCTTTTTGAATTCTACAGCAGTGGTGGGGGGAGTAGTGGCCTAACCCTGCCTGGCCTGTCTGCATCATATGAGGTTACCAATGTTAAATGGTTTTGATCAATGAAAATAGTTTCAGGTACTTCACCATAATAAATATGAACTTTATGAACTTTTTCACGTGACATACCCTCCAGAGTTGCAGCCCGATCATATCCTAGACCTTTATTTCAGTGTTCCTTTGTCCTGAGTTGGGGCTTTAGCAGGGACATGAGGAATGGTGTCCTATGCTCCTATGCTCGTGGAGATATTCTTAGCTCAGGGTAAGGACGCGAGCTTCACAGTATTACGAAGCACCAAGACAGAGCAAAATGTACATGTGAGTATCCCACAGCCACTCACCCAGTGCAGCCTACTGGGTGGTGAATCCCAGGATCCAGACCTAGCTCTTGTGGATTCTAAGACCATGCATTTTAAATTTCATGTTGTTATACAGTCACTAAGTCATATCTGACTTCACAGTCCCACGGACTGTAGCCCAGCAGGTCTCTCTGTCCTTGGGGTTCTCCAGGCAAGAATCCTGGAGTGGGTTTCCATCTTCTCCTTCCCACACCAGGGATCAAACCCATGTCTCCTCCATTGGCAGGCAGACTCCTTACTGCTGAGCCACCAGGGAAGCCTTTCTTACTCTATGCCTAAATATAATTTGAATTCAGAGACTCAGATGCAGTAAGGTAGTTTTACCTTTAAGTGTAGTTCAGCTTATACATTCCTTTAAACTTGGGATTTGCAAATCATGGGTCTGTTTTTGTAAATGAAGTTTAGTTGGAACAGACTGTGGTTCATTCCTTTATGTATTTTTGGTGTACCTCTCACACTGCAAGGGCAGGGTTGAGTGATACTGACAGAAGCCTTATAACCTACAAACGTTAAAATATTTACTGTTTGGCCCTTACTCAAACCACCTAGCACAGGTAAAGTGGTATCCATTATGTTAGATTAAGAGTCCACAAGCTACATCCTGTGGGCCAAAACCAACTTACTGTGTGCCTTTGTAAAGAAAAGCATTGAAACACAGCTGCCTGTGCTCATGTTTGTGTTGCCTTTGACTGCTTTTGTCCTTCTGTTCCATGAAGTCAGTGCCTGAAACTGTCTGTATTCAAGTCCCTTCTTAAAAAAATGTACCATGCTTTTTTTTTTTTTCCTCCTCCCATGCTTTCTACTTTCATGCAGGATTATATATCCTTCCTCCATAAGGATATATTAAAACATGAGGGTTTTTTTAAGTAAGCTCTGGAGCCAAAGTATCTGAGTTATTGATCTATCACTTTATACAGTTGATCCTTGAATGACATAGGTTTGAACTGCACAGGTCCACTTATATTCAGATTTTTAAAAAATAAATACACACTACAGTACTACATGAGCCAAGGTTGGTTGATTCCTTGATACAGATAGATGACTGAAAAATTATATGTGGATTTTTGCCCGTGGTGTATTGGTGCCCCTGCACTCTTCAAGGAACAGCTGTTGTTATTTTTCAGTATCAACACTGGTATAAAACAACAGGCTGTGTTAGTGAAATAAAGTGGAGAGAATATTTAATAATTAGGATATTTTAACTCCCTCATGATTAGAATTTGCTAAGAAGTTGGGAGGTTGACAGAAGAAAAAATTTGAATTCTTCAGAAGGTTTTTGTATTTTGCTGGCGTGCCTCTTCTCTGAGTGGACTAGTCTGAGAAAGTGAGCAGGATTTTGTTGTTTCTGCCCCGTCACAGCTCTGTTACCGTAGGTAGGGACTGCTTGCTGTCTCTGAGATGAGCCTCCGCTTACTCACTGGTCAATTGGGGTTATTAGTGCTGATCTCAGAGGCTTGCCAAGAAGATTAAATGAGGTAACTTTGGTAAAGTGCCTTGGAATGCAGCTGCTTTAAAAATATTTTCTTTACCTGCCTTTCATTCTGTTGAAGTGTTGGTTGTGCAAATTTTTCTCAGTGGTCAGTGATGCTAATCCTAGAAGTGTTTCTTTCTCTTCCTCTTCTAGAGTAGTCCTCAGACTGAAACCTTTCAGTTTTTGTTTTGGCTGACAGAGGCTGGCCCTTCAGGTGAAATGAAAAAGAGGCATTGTTACTGTGAATGAGAGACCAGGAAACGGACCTGAGAGAGAACAGGCTCATGGGGCTTTTCCTTCTCTTGTTTGACTGCAGTATAAAGAAGAGGGCGGCAAGGTAACCAGTTACTGCCACGAGACCATGACTGGCTGGGTCCATGATGTGCTGGGCCGGAACTGGGCCTGTTTCACCGGAAGGAAGACAGGAAATACCTCGGAGAACGTGAACATGAACACAGCACGCCTTGCAGGTCTTGAGGAAACGTGAGTTGTCGTCAATGAAAGATCCATTTAGTTTTTTATGGTGTTTATAAAGATGTGTCTATATTAATACTTGGAAATTTTAATTTGATTATATTAACTTTATTTGACTTAGAAACACAAGCCATGTTATGTAAAATGGAAAAAATGTTGAGTGATTTAACTGAGAGAAGAAAGTATTTTTTTCAAAATACTTCAAAAGTAATGGACCAATGAGGACTTTAAAGAATATTTATATAAAGGACCATAGAATTGCAGTGACTTATACAGGGAAATGGAACAACAGATGGGTTCCAAATCAGGAAAGGAGTACGTCAAGGCTGTACATTGTCACCCTGCTTATTTAACTTATATGCAGAGTACATCATGCAAAATGCTGGGCTGGATGAAGCACAACCTAAAATCAAGATTGCTGGGAGAAATATCAGTAACCTCAGATATGCAGATGACACCACCCTTATGACAGAAAATGAAGAACTAAAGAGCCTCTTGATGAAAGTGAAAGAGGAGAGTGAAAAAGTTGACTTAAAACTACCAACTAAGATCATGGCATCTGGTCCTATCACTTCATGGCAAATAGATGGGGAAACAATGGAAACAGTGACAGACTTTATTTTGGGGGGCTTCAAAATCACTGCAGATGGTGACTGCAGCCATGAAATTAAAAGACGCTTGCTCCTTAGAAGGAAAGTTATGACCAACTTAGACAGCATATTGAAAGCAGAGACATTACTTTGCCAACAAAGGTCCATCTAGTCAAAGCTATGGTTTTTCCATGAGTCATGTATGGATATGAGAGTTGGACTGTAAAGAAAGCTGAGTGCCGAAGAATTGATGCTTTGGAACTGTGGTGTTGGAGGAGACTCTTGAGAGTCCATTGGATTACAAGGAGATCCAACCAGTCCATCCTAAAGGAGATCAGTCCTGGGTGTTCATTGGAAGGACTAATGCTGAAGCTGAAACTCCAATACTTTGGCCACCTGATTCGAAGAGCTGACTCATTAGAAAAGATGCTGATGCTGGGAAAGATTGAAGGCAGGAGGAGAAGGGGATGACAGAGGATGAGATGGTTGGATGGCATCACTGACTCGATGGACATGAGTTTGAGTAAACTCCAGGGGTTGGTGATGGACAGGGAAGCCTGGCGTGCTGCAGTCCATGGAGTCACAAGGAGTCAGACACGACTGAGTGACTGAACTAATCCTAATACAGAAAAATCATTTTATTATTGCCACGTAATAAGATGTTGCAGGCTTCCCAGATGGCCCCAGTGGTAAAGAACCTGCCTGCCATTGAGGGAGACATAGGGACAGGGGTTTGATCCCTTGGAGCATGGAATGGCAGCCCACTCCAGTTTTCTTTCCTGGAAAATCCTATGGACAGATTGCAGGCTACAGTCCTTGGGATTGCAAAGAGTTGGACAAGACTGAAGTGACTTAGCACAGCACAGCACAATAAGATGTTGCAGAATCCTTGCAGATACATATGTTTATTTTGCATCAAATATAGGCGATACTAATCGAACATAAATCTTAAACAAGGCAATAAATAACTGAGTTTAAAGTTCTTAGTATTTATATAATGTTTTAGTTTGCTGAGGCTAATATAACAGATCACACAGACTGGTTTAAGCAACAGAGATTTATTTTCTCATAGTTCTGGAGGCTGTAAGTCCAAGGTCACGGTGTCAGCAGTTTTGGTTTCTTCTGAGGGCTCTGTCCCTGGCTTGCAAATGGCTGCTAACCATTGTCCCTACACACTCAGCCTGTGTTCTAATCTCCATTTCTTACTAGTATACCAGTCATGTGAGCTTCCCAGGTGGCCCAGTGGTAAAGAATCCACCTGGTAATGCAGGAGATGCAAGAGACTTGGCTTTGATCCTGGGTCGGGAAAATCCCTTGGAGAAGGAAATGACAACCTGCTCCAGTATTCTTGCCTGGGAAATCCCAGGGACAGAGGAGCCTGGCAGTCTTTAGTCCATGGGGTCACAAAGAGTCGGACACAACTGAGCAAACACACACACACACCAGTCATACTGGAATAGAGCCCAGCCATGTGACCTCATTTAACCTTGATGTCCCCTTTAAAGGCCATGTCTCTCAATATAGTCACATTCTGATATACTGAAGTTTAGGACGTGAACACATGAATTTAGCTTATAACAGTTAATATTTTTCCCAAGTCAGGTCCAGTGTAAGTCACTGTGAACCACACAAGAGATTTCAGACTTTATTAATTTGGAAGGAAAAGATAAATATTATTGGTAGCATATTTTCTGTTTTATTTGCCTGTGAAATCCCCTGAAAGTGTATATGAGCAGATCACCCAAAGCCAGGCCACACAGGGAGTGAAGGACTCTGCAGCAGAGAAGGGGGGTGTGAGTTCAAAGAGGACAGATTGCTCTTGTATGGGGAGGCACCCCCCCACAATTTAGACCAATTCATCCCCTCCATTTGAACATAGATTTTAAGTTGCTTTGCTTGGCTTGACCCTTGAGTGACATTTCCTATGAAGCTGCTCACTTTTCACTCTACCATTTAGGATATACTGTGTACTATGTACCTTTCTGATATTTCAAGCATTGCCTCATTTAGTGAAGAAGCTACAACCAGAGTGCTCAGAATCTATGTTGCCTCACTTGTAAAATAAACATTTAGGACTATGTTACCGTCAAGGTCTCTTTCAGCTCTTAATGATCAGATCTCAAGATAGATATTTACAATTTAAAACATGTTTCTTTTGGTGTTGGAGAAGACTCTTGAGAGTCCCTTGGACTGCAAAGAGATCCAACCAGTCCATCCTAAAGGAAATCAGTCCTGAATATTCATTGGAAGGGTTGATGCTGAAGCTGAAACTCCAATACTTTGGCCACCTGATGCGAAGAACTGCCTCATTTGAAAATACCCTGATGCTGAGAAAGATTGAAGGTGTGAGGAGAAGGGGACAACAGAGGATGAGATGGTTGGATGGCATCACCGACTCGACAGACATGAGTTTGAGTAAACTCCGGGAGTTGGTGATGGACAGGGAGGCCTGGCGTGCCTGGCCTGGCGTGCCTGAACCCCCTGGTTCATGGGGTCGCAAAGAGTGGGACACCACTGATCAATTGAACTGAACCTGTGTTTTAAGAAAAAACAACTGTAACTGGGTTTTGTTGTTTGTTAGTTTGTCGAAAATAGAATACAGAGAGTTTTATGTTTAGTAAATGTACCTCTCTGATTTCTCACTTTGAAAAAAGTGGGAAAGTACTTTGATAAAAATATTAAAACATTATCAATGTAATTGCACATTTTTGTTATTATTTCCAGTGCTTCCAGGTTGTTTGGTTATATCTCAATACTCTCTGTGAACACCTGAATTAAAAGAGAAAGAAAAGTTGACAGTATACCTAAAGTTACTCAGGTTAGGTGTACCTTGCTTTGTATAACTGAATGTTAATGGAAGGTATACATTCACTATATGTATAACTTAGAGTGAATATAACTTATATAATAAGTTATATATAACAACTTACATAATATAACATATAATAAGTATAACTTATTCACTATATGTATAACATATATGTATGTATAGTGTATGAAGTTATCCATACACTATATGGATAGTGAGTCATACTTAAGTCATAGAACTTTTTTTTAGTAGAAATAACATGGTGAATTCTGTAATTCCTGGCACCTGGCACATAGGTGTAATACATGTTTGAGTTAAATGAATAATCAACTCCCTCAATCTTTTGCCTTTGTAAACATGCTCTTTGTGTATTAGATTTGTTTGCATTTCTGTCCAAGCATTTGGCATCAGTTAAACCAGTGCCTCTCAGTCTTTAATGTTGCTGTGAATCATCTGGGAATCCTGTTAAAATGTAGATTCTGATTCAGGTGGCCTGGATTGACATTTAGATTCTGCGTTTCTAGCAAGCTTCCAGGTGCTTCTGCTGATACTGGCTCGAGAACCAAATCTCAGTGACAAGGATATAAACCTTGTCCATATGGAACAATCTTTTTTTCATCAAGTGGTTCTAATACTTGCCTTGCTGTATATACATTGAATACGCTTTTGCTGTACTTCACCCCACCCCCTTTTTATTATTGCAAAATTTAAAAGGTGATGTGTGTGTGCTCAATTGTGTCCAACTCTGTAGCCCCATGAACTGTATCCCTCCAGGCTCTTCTGTCCATGGAATTTTCCAGGCAAGAATACTAGAGTGGGTTGCCATTTCCCCCTCCAGGGGATTTTCCTGACCCGGGGACCAAACCTGAGTTTCTTTTGCCTCCTGCATTAGCAGGCAGGTTCTTTTCCACTGTGCCACATACACACATTGAATACAGTTTTGCTGTCTTCCCCACCTTTTTTTTGTCATTGCCAAGGTTAAAAGGTACATTGTAGAAATTGTATTAATAGGGGTGTGATTCTGTGTTACCACTCAGAGATAACCTTGGTTGTATGTACTTTATAGTATCAATATAAATGTACACTTTCACAAAAATTGATCCATGCTGTGTCAACTTCTTTGATAGTCTGCTTTTTTGTCTAATATAGTGTGACCATTCTCCCATATCACTAAATAATCTTCCAGACATTTTTACTGAATAAACTGTATAGCAAATGAAGTGCCATTATTTATTTAATCCATTCTTTCTTTTAGAATTTATGTTTATAATCTGTTACTAGTATAAAAGTGTTTCGCTGAACATCCTCATACAGTTATCTTAGTTCGCTTAAATTTTATTTTCATAGGACACATTCCAGTTCTAGGCTGCAGATATAAATGTAGAGATATAGAGACTGATATACCCAGTTGCCTTCCTGAAAGATTAGATCACTTTATACTCAGGCCTGGAGTATGAGTGCCTCTTTTAATGGGATCTGTTTACCTCGGTGAAGAGTGTATCTGAAGCCATCTTACTTTTGTTGGCAGGTATTCTAATAGGCTCTACAGATATAACCACGACTTGGTGAAAGCTATCAATGCCATTCAAAAGTCTTGGACTGCAGCCCCATACGTGGAATATGAGAGTCTTACCCTCAAAGAGATGATCAGGAGAGGTGGTGGCCACAGCCGGAGAATTCCAAGGTAATAAAGCACCTCTGTCACGAATGAAGATCTGTGTTGACTGATGCCCTCCCTTCTAGCCAGCCCTCCGTGGGTTGCTCACTGCTTTATTGGTCATCCCAGCTGCGACGTTTATATCATCTTTTCTCTGGCCGTGCCCGTCTCCTGTTCACACGTGTTCTGATGCTCTCCAGGTCCTGTTTATGGGCTTTGCTCTCTTCCCGTTTCTCCACTCTGGCTGGGGGGCCTTGTCTCTTGCTTGTATGATGGATCAGCTTCCTGCCTTCTGTCCTTTTGATCTCTGTCCCTCCCTGTCCCCATTCTTAGCCACTCTATGAAATACTGCCAGGTATATCTTACTGTATTCAGCTGTGATCAGGTGACTACCCGTTGTCTCAGGAGTAAATTTAGCCTAGTAATCAAAACCATCTAAATTTGACCACAACTCTGTTTACCACCTTGACCTGCTTTCAAACAATACGACAAAAAATTACTGAAAACTTTCATCTACCACCATTCATGACATACCCCTGAACTTGCCTATAAAAACCATCAAATTTGCCACCTGTAAAAATCTCAAAATCCTTTCTCAGTTTTGAGGTCCAGCCAAAAAAAAAAGTTACATATTTATCAATATGCTTCTCCTGCCTTCAGCCAGAAGTGGCATTTCCCATCTTAGTTTACATACCCCATGATATGCATCTGATGGGAAATTATATCATTCTTTGAATTTATATAGTCAGGAGTTTCGTAGATTTCTTTAATTCCCTGAAAACTATAGCTGAATTTAGCATACATAGTCCCTTAACATTTATTAAATGACCAGCAACATTCTTGTAATGCCGTACCTTGCTGCAGGAGAAATTGATGTAACTGGAGGGTAGGAAAACCAACTGGAAAAGCTAATGGGGCTCAATAAATTGTGTAGCTAGGTTATTTTCTTTTAGTATATCAAAGCATTTTCTAATATTCAGAGACTATAATGATTATTTTCTTAGTAGCTATAGAGTCCTATGTTCAAGTTTTCTTGTTTAAACAGACCACTGATAGATTAATGTTTAACTAAAATACATTGCTGGACAAATGCCGGACTGGATGAATCACAAGCTGGAATCAAGATTGCTGGGAGAAATATCAACAACTATTTACCACTCTAATAGCAGAAAGTAAAGAGGAACTAGAGAGCCTCTTGATGAAGGTGAAAGAGGAGAGTGAAAAGGCTGGCTTAAAACTCAGTGTTTAGAAAACTAAGATCATGTCATATGGCCCTACCATTTCATGACAAATAGAAGGGTTAATTTTCTTGGGCTGCAGAATCACTGAGGATGGTGACTGCAGCCATGAAATTAAAAGATGCTTGTTCTTGGAAGAAAAGTTATGACAAATCTAGACAGTGTATTGAAAAGCAGAGATATCAGCTTGCCAACAAAGTCCACATAGTCAAAGGTATGGTTTTTCCAGTAGTCATGTACAGATGTGAGAGTTGGATGATAAAGAAGTCTAAATGCCAAAGAATTGGTGCTTTTGAATCGAGGTGCTAGGGAAGACTCTTGAGAGTCCCTTGGACTGTAAGGAGATCACTCCTAAAGAAAATCAGTCCTGAATATTCATTGGAAAGACTGTCGCTGAAGCTAAAGCTCCAATACTTTGGCCACGTGATGCAAAGAGCCAACTCATTAGAAAAGACCCTGATGCTGGGAAGGATTGAGGGCCGGAGGAGAAGGGGGCGTCACAGGATTATATGGTTAAATAGCATTACCTCCTCAATGGACATGAATTTGAGCAAACTGCAGGAGATAGTGGAGGACAGAGGAGCCTGGCGTACTGCAGTCCACTGGGTCACAAAGTAGGACACAACTTGGCAAATGAACAACAGCAATAAGATTCATTGCTAAATTTTTCTTCTGCAGACTAATAATCATAATCTGAGATTTTTCTACTCTGAGACTGTATAGAGTTTTTTTTCCTGTCCGACTGATAGCATTCTCTCGTAATTCTACCCATCTCAAAAAAAAAAAAAAAATTCTTGTATAATGTTTCTCATAGCATATTCTAAGGAGTGACTAGTTTACGAGACGTTCTGGTTAGTCAAAATTCAGAAAGGGTATATTGTATCTCTTCTCGGATTCACTAAAGGGAAAGAGCCATCCTGTGTCTGTGCGAGACGGAAAATTGAGAGCTGTTCATAGCCATCCGGAGGAGGTGCGATCAGTGCTGGAGCCTTAGGGAGGAGACCAGGGCTCCTGTACACAGCTGCATTGCCACGGGTCAGGTGCCACGTTTCTGAATATTTGAATTTGTTCTCTTTCCACCCAACCACCTTGGTTTTAGAGAAGAGAGAGATTTATGAAGCCCTGTTTTCAAGGCTAATAAGTCTCCATAGAAGGTTTAAGATAAGGAGATAGAAGTGGGAAATTTTGAAGTGAAACATTGTGACCCCATGAATTGCAGCACGCCAGGCCTCCCTGTCCATCACCAGCTCCCGGAGTTTACTCAAACTCATGTCCATCGAGTCGGTGATGCCATCCAGCCATCTCATCTTCTGTCATCCCCTTCTCCTCCTGCCCCCAATCCCTCCCAGCATCAGGGTCTTTTCCAATGAGTCAACTCTTCGTATCAGGTGGCCAAAGTATTGGAGTTTCAGCTTCAGCGTCAGTCCTTCCAATGAACACCCAGGACGGATCTCCTTTAGATCTGTTGAAAGAATCCAATGACATAATAGAAACTCTCAGAGATTCTTAACCTGAATCTCTGAAACTGAAGCTGCTGAAATTGTAGAAAAACATACTGTTTATGATATTAAGTTCTTTGACCAGTGTCACACAGCTAGGAAGTGGTGAAGCCATTGTAGGTGTCTTTGTGTCTGACTTTTATCTGTTTATTGGCCTGGTCTGCCTTCTTCTACTTACATCCTGTATTTCTTTGCCTTTCACTTCTTTTATGACTACCATCACCACCCTCTGTAGAGTCAAACATCAGTAATTCCTCTATTTTCTCTAAATCCTTTGTAGGGCATCTTCAATTTCCCATATCTACTTTTTTGGGTCAAAATCTATGAAAAGTAAGAGAATGCTGTTATTTAGGCATATTAAAACTAGCAATGGCAATATATAAGACCAATATTGTTTCACAGGGGAAAATTACTAGATCCGGAAAAATAGACGGGTAATTTTGAGACTTCCCCAGTAGCCAGGGGCTGAGACACTGTGATCCCAATGCAGGAGGCCTGGGTTCAATCCCTGGTCAAGGAACTAGACCCTACATGTTGCAACTAAAGATCCCGCATGCCAGGACTAAGACCGGTCATAGCCAAATAAATAAATTGAAAAATAAATAATTGTAACAGTTAAAAAAAAAAAGAAATGGGCAATCTATATAACTTAGTTGTATAATGGACACCGTGTATAATAGACACATTTTTGTATAATAGACACATTGAAACACTGATGGACAAGTGTTCTTTGGATCTGAATCTACATCCTAGCCAGCCAGGTGGTTGAAATTATGGGATTAAAGGTAAGGAAATCATCCTCAAAGGAAAGACTTATGTATTGATGTCAAGTGTCTATTTCCATCCTAGGCCCAAACCTGCACCAATAACTGCTGAAATACAGGAAAAGATTTTGCATTTGCCAAAATCCTGGGATTGGAGAAATGTTCATGGTATCAATTTTGTTACTCCTGTTCGAAACCAAGGTAAAAAAATGTCTGATTTTTTTTCTTTTTTATCCATTCTGAAATATTTATTGAACATTTACTGTGTACCAGGCTGTCACATTCTGGGGATACAGAGATGAAACTGGTATGACTACTTTAGTAAAGAAATAGAAAATCTATAACTAATGAATACTCACTTCTTGTTTTTGTATCCTTGACAGACACTGGTAACACATAATCTCTCCAGCTTTGCCCAGCATTTCCTCGGTGTCCTTCTCAAAGTATGTGTTCCAGATAGCTAGTGAAATTCATTAGAGTGGTATATAAGCCAAACTCATTTGCCCTCTGAGTCACAGAGGCTTCTATAGAAACAAATAACTGTAGCTCAGATTAGCCTTTCTTGTCTTCCTTCTGCAGATGGTTTGCTGGAATCTTTCATTTTTTTAACTGAAATATAATTGACTTAGAATGTGTATTAGTTTCAGGTGTATAGCAAAGTGATTCAGTTTATATATACTTTTTCAGATTCTTTTCCATTATAGTTTAAGATATTGAATAAGTGATATCATATGTTATTTGTAGACCCTGGTTCGATTCCTGGGCTGGGAAGATCCCCTGGAGAAGGGATAGGCTACCTGCTCAGTATTCTTGGGCTTCCCTGGTGGCTTAGTCTGTAAAGAATGCCTGCAGTATGGGAGACCTGTGTTTGATCCCTGGTTTGGGAAGATTCCCTGGAGGAGGGCATGACAACCCACTCTAGTATTCATGCCTGGAGAATCCCCATGAAAGAGGAGCCTGGATGGCTGATTTACTTAGTATGATAATCTCTAGGTTCATCCATGTTGCTCCAAATTGCATTATTTCATTCTTTTCTATGGCTGAGTAACATTCCAGTGTGTGTATGTGTGTGTGTGTGTGTGTGTGTGTATGCACACACCATATCTTCTTTATTCTGGAATCCTTCTTTTAAGTGTCCACCCACTCTCCCCCCCACCCCCCCCCCACCATTAGTCTAATTATCAGTTCAGTCGCTCAGTCGTGTCCGACTCTTTGTGACCCCATGAACTGTAGCACGCTGGGCCTCCCTGTCCATCACCAATTCCCAGAGTCTACTCAAACTCATGCCGATCAAGTTGGTGATGCCATCCAACCATCTCATCCTTTGTCATCCCCTTCTCCTCCTGCCCCCAATCCCTCCCAGCCTCAGGGTCTTTTCCAATGAGTCAACTCTTCGCATCAGGTGGCCAGAGTATTGGAGTTTCAGCTTCAGCATCAGTCCTTCCAATGAACACCCAGGACTGATCTCCTTTAGGATGGACTGGTTGGATCTCCTTGCAGTCTAATTTTGTAGGAGCCCAAAAAACGAATCCTTAATATTTTTTTTTTGCTGATGAAGTAGATTTTTTGAATTGTGTAAGGATCTTTCAATTAACTTTACATCAGAATATGACATGTAATGGTAAGTATTAACTCAGCTTCATGGTGGAATGTTTACCAGCATTATCACTATAATTGCATTTTGTCAGCTGTTTCTGAAAATTAGATAAAGTATGAGTAGATTTAATAACATTGCCTGTAATAGCACTTGAGAGCAAATTACCTTATCCTAAATTTTAGCCAACAGTGACTGGAGGATCATTTATACAGTGCTCAGGTTTATTACTTCTAAGCTCATTTGGAAGACAATTGTAGTACACAGGACTGATTTGTTACTATAAAGTGGGTGTAGTATTTGCTGTCTGGAAACATTCTGATTGGTGTCTCCTGAAAGGATTAAAAATTAATAGCACCCAAAGATAAATTTTCCTTCCCGTTTCCTATAAAGTCAGTAATCAGCCTCTCCCCGTTCTCAATATTCACCGCCACCCCTTCAATCCATCCCCACTGCATTGTTGGACAGTGTTCTGAATGTATGGGGCTTTGGGCAAGTCTTGCAGCGGCAGGGTTCCTGTCCTTTATCTGACCCTGGAGGTAAAGAGACGTCTCAGCTCTTTGTCTTTCCTTTGTGCCAGTTATTCTTGGGCTCTTTGGCTCCAGAGAAAGTGTGGGTCTTGAAATCCATCCCTACCTTTCCTGGGGACAGCTTCTTTGAAAAGCAGGGATTGGAAATGAGAGAAATTTAAAGGTAAATGAGAAATGAATGGAAAATAAGTTAAAAAGATTTGATGTTAAGAGAGGATTAAAATTTATTCTATCATCCAATAGGTTTCCTGTCCTTACTAGAGGATTAAGTAGATACTACATGTTGACTGTTGAGGGCTTAGCACACACAGTTGTCTCCACTGTGTTGTATTTATAGAGTATCTAACATGTCAGGAAGTTTTGTTTAAAGGCTGAGGCTGTGAAGACTAATATGATACAATCCTTTGTCCTAGAGACTATAGCTTAGCAAGATTTACAAACAAAACATTAAGATACAATATAACTGCTTTAAGTAGGGTGTTTAAAAAATTCATTAAGAGAAGGTTGTAAGAAAAATTTAGTTCAGCTCACTTCCCAAAAAGGTTTGATTGACTAGTGATGAGATAATAATTCAAAGGAAATCAGACTTTCTAACCCCAGATTCTTTGACAGCATCTCTCTTGTAGCTCAGTAAAAGCTGTTGTTGTCTGTAATATTCCATATTCTTTGAGTGTTATAAATATGGTTTGTATAGACATGGACAATTTAAAAGCAGAGGGCTTTGAGTGATTCATTGCTTTTTAAATTGATCCCTCATCTGGTATCTTGTCAGGTATCTGAGAAAATAATGTACTCAGTGGTTCCTCTTTTGACTTCTTTGTGGTGTTCTGTACTTTAGGTTATGAAAAAAAAAATTATTTTCTCTTCCTACTAACCGGGCTACTTGGAAGTTTCCACTAACTTAAATATACCAGTGTCCTATAGAAATCAAAATTACCCGCAGTTCAGGGAATTCACAACTTTTCTCTACTCAGAGAGCAAATTAAGAGTAATGAAAAAAAACCACACACAGAAAAAGTCCTGGGTGGGAGATAAATGCTTACCCTGAACTTGTTAGGGTAAGTTTAAGCACCAGCCTTATAGCTCAGGTTTACTTTGCGTGTGAGAGGGAGGAGAGCTTGGAAATTGGAAGAGACGACTTTCCTTGTTGATCTCCCAGTTGTGCTGTCTTTATTATTGTGTCGTCAAGAGAGAAGGGGAGTGTCTTTCAGGTCACATTAATTAGGAAATGCAGAGTGGTTTCCTGACTTTAAAAATCGAGTTCATTTTAGTCTTGTTCTAACTACTGTTTATACTAAAGCTGGGAGGCAGGGGCCTTAAACTGATCCACCCCATTCCTTTTACACCCAAGATGAAGTGTCAGAAAGGTCACGTGAGTCGCCCAGCCACAGAGCTGAGTGATGGGGTGAGCGGGAAGGACAAAAAGGAATCCTGACTCCTTACTACCGGTTCGGCGTGCTCGCCGCTGCTGGAGGGTGAAGGCTGAGTGCTGTTGAGCCGTGTGGCAATCACAGTAGCTATTTGAGAGTGTGGAAACTTGATTACTGCAGAACTCTGCCTGGGCCAGCTCCCCTCCTCACTCGTTTGTTTCTGTTGTTGTTGTTTAGTTGCCAAGTCCTGTCCGACTCTTGTGACCCCATGTACTGTAGCCCGCCAGGCTCCTCTGTCCATGGGATTTCCCAGGCAAGAATACTGGAGTGGGTTGCCATTTCCTCCTCCAGGGGGTCTTCCCAGCTTAAGAACTGAACTCTTATCTCCTGCATTGGCGAGCTGATTCTTAACCACTGATCCACCAGGAAAGCCCTCCCATTCTTTGTTGCCCTATAATCCTAAGAGAAAACGGTCCTTTTGGAAGCCAGACTCTGGCCTTGATTTTTGAAGACATGTTAATTACTTCGGCAGCTAACCTTCTGGGAACATCAGAGGCTTGAGGAAGCTTATTTCCTTCCATCCTTCTTGTAATTTCTCTGGTGATAGCACATTCTGAGTCCTGGAATGGACATGTGGCCTGTCCCTCCCACGATACTGGATGGGCTGATAATGAAGGTTAAATACTTAAAACCAAAAGAGTTATTTCTGCAGCTCCCATGGGCCAAGACGGCTAAATGGCCAAATTGGCATTGTTTCTAGACTCTCTTGTGATTTACTGCTGTCTCATGAAAGGAACATTGGCTTTGCCATTTATTGTCACTCATCTAGTTCTCTGACATTGTCATGTGAAAGAGGACTCCTAGGGTAGTGTTGTTTAGATGGCTTCCCAAACAAAATGGACAAGTTAATTTTGGTCTACCTAGTAACTGGAAGATGGGGAAAGGAAATTTGAGAATTCTTTAAAGTAGATATGGGCCTGTAAATGGAAGAAGACGGTGTTCCTGTGTTAGCAGGCAGCTCGGTGCTGGCATCTGCCATCCTTTAGTTTGGTGACTTTGGCCAGGTCATTGCCTCTTTCTGAGTCTCAGTGCACGCATTGTCAAGTGAGTAGATTGAACACTAGATGAATTCCAAGGCCCCCTTCCAAACGTTTCTCTTCTAATTGTCACAATTTAGGTGATGCCTCAGTAGCAAAAGCAGTATGGATAAATCTAAGATGTTTATGGGGAGAATTTTGGGAACCCTCAGAAATGGTAGCAGTTAAAGGGTGACGGGGCACTAACAGACTCAAAGGAAATATTGACTGTTTCCATTGAAATAACTTTCTTTCCTGGCTATAAATACGTGTCTGCTTGTTCATAACTTGACTTCTTTCTACAGAGATGCACTGAGTTCCTTCATTGCCATCAAGGTGAAGAAGACAGATTTCCTGTAAACACTCAAGGAAATTCCTAGTTTAGTTTGAGGAAAACAGTATTAAGTAATTCAGGTAGAGTTTAGAATGTTCCCTGGTGGCTCAGATAGTAATGAATCCGCCTGCAATGCGGGAGACCTGGGTTCAATCCCTGGGTTGGTAAGCTCCCCCAGAGAACGCCAGAGAACGGAATGGTTACCCCCTTCAGTATTCTTGCCTGGGGAAATCCGTGGACAGAGGAGCCTGGTGGGCTACAGTCCACAGGGCCACAGAGAGTCAGACACAACTGAGCGACTAACACTCTGACTTTCTTTCGTAGCACGCTGGAGACTGAGCATAGAATATCCTGGCTTTCCTTTGTTCTCAGGGAAAGACATGAATGAACATTTACTTGGAGAAGAGAAAAACGATGCCCCTCATATTTTTAAAGTATAATGTTATGAATATTTTTCTGAGGAAGGCAGTCACTAAATTACTAAATTCAGATTTATTAAAGAGAACAAAGGCAGCATTCTCTTTATGTAGAATGAGTTTTGTTAGTTTTTTTGGGTTTTTAAAGTTATTAGTAAATTGAATAATATATCAACTTCATTTAATTTCCAGTGTCTTGGGTGCAGGAGACCTTGGATGCAGGATACTTGGGTTCAATCCCTGGGTCAACTGAGTGACTAGCTTTCACTTTTGGGGGGTTTGGTACAAGTATATCACCATGTAGAATTTACATCAGCGGCAGAGATAAAAGAGGCTCTGTTATACTAGAGATACTAAAATTATGTTCATTTCTTTCTGGAATTGTAATAAGTGGAAATCTAGTTTTGTTACATACATGCTATATTTTATTCTGTGTATATATCTCTTCTCACATATTGAAGAAGCAGATAAAAAATCTTTATATAAATTACCTCATAATACATTATTTTTTCTTCTCTTGAAGTAGCAAATACATTCCTAGCATATACTTCTTAATAAATTTATTTTGTCTTTGCCAGAGCATTCAGGTATTAAATTAAGCTGTTTTCTTTTCCCTTTTCCCCTGCTTCCATCCAACTACTTTTCAATTTATTTTCAATTTCACTACCTCCATCTGGTTTAATATCTTTACTTCTTTATTGAATACCTTAAATACCATATTGGTCATTATATAATAATTACTTTTTATTATATTTTCACTGGTTGTATCCAGTTCTCTATAATAATACACCTATACTTGAGCCATTCTTAGAGTTAATTCCACCCAACACGTTCCTTTAGAAAATACCTCTCTGGAGATATTTAGAAGCTCAGTTCATATGTATTCCTCCCTAATGTTCTTTCAATTTCATGGCTCGGAACATTGCAGATATGTCAGTACATCATTTCTTCATTATTAAGAATACTGTCGAGTACTTTGCAGAAGCTAGGAGGTTTTTTCCCTCCCAAAGCAGTGTCAAGGAAAGTCCCATGTAGTAATGTTTGCCTTTCAGTGAAAAAGCTGAAATCTTAATATTTGCCTGTAAGGTCAATAGCGTTTGTTGACTAAATCTCCTTTATTGTGCTAATCCTTATGAACAAAAAGCAGCAACACTCAATAAAGCTATATTAGTGTATGTCATCCACTCGGGTTTTCTTTGGCTTTTTTTTTTTCCTTTGGCTTTTCTTGAGGGCGTCAAAGTCTCTTAGGTTATATGTCTTCCTTTTCCATCACCAGGGCCTTGTGGAAGCTGCTACTCATTTGCTTCTATGGGGATGATGGAAGCAAGAATCCGCATACTAACCAACAATACTCAGACCCCAATCTTGAGTCCTCAGGAGGTTGTGTCTTGCAGTCAGTATGCTCAAGGTAAGTGTTGTGTTTCAGGCACTGTTGAGCTGTGTGTAGTTTGCCATTGTTGGCAAAACCATAAGGATGGGGGACAGAGAGAGCATAGTGTCTGCTCTCAGAAAACCTGGGTGCAAGTTCTGGCCCTGCCACTTACTACTTAGTGCTTTCTCATGGAATTCACTGTAGCATCCAGCACAGTGTCAGTAATTGCTATAATGCGAGTAAGGACGGGCTCTTTGGAGCCTCTTACATACGTTACCCGGCAGTGCTCAGAACCCTGAAGGAGCAGCTGTTACGCTGCATGGAGACAAGGAACAGATGTGAAGGTGTTCTACAGGATTTCGAAGACCTCCCAGCTTCTAACTACGAGACTCAGTTCCAAATAAGGTGTCTCTCTGAAACCTAATTCTTACTGAAAGCGTATGAACACTGGTTTCTCTCTAGAAGGAGGTAAAAGTTTTGTACATAGGCTTTCAGAACAGGGCATATCTAAGGTATGTAGAAAGAGGGTGGATTCGGGGAGGAATCGTCTCGTTTTGAAGTTTGCTGCTGTCATCCCCAGATTTGGCTGCTTGAAAGTTTCTCAGTTCACCGGTGCAACTGCTGGTGTATAGTTATTTGTCAGTGAGCCTTTTATTCTTCCTGAAATACTTATTAAACACCCACATTGTGACTTCTGGGCCCTGAAGACTCTGCAGTATCCAGAGAGTAACCTCATGAAGCTTAGAGTGAAGTAAGGAAAATGGAAATTTAGTAAGTACGAGAACAATGAAGAGAAAGTAGAAGGTTACAGATGTGTATGCGGGCATAGTTTGTGTTGCTCTTCTCAGATGCAGTGTGTTTTTACTAATTGAAGGTTTGTGGTGACCTGCACTGGGCCACGCTGTCGGCACCGTTTTCCTGACAGTGTTTGCTCACTTCGTGTCTCTTTGTCACATTTTGGTAATTCTCGAAATACTTCCAAACCTCCCCCCAGCAAAACGATTATGACTCACTGAATGCCCTGGTGATGGTTAGTGGGTTTTGTTTTTTTGCAATAGAGCATTTTAAAAGTATGGTGTGTGTATTGTTTCTTTTGGAAAATATGAACACTTAATAGACTACAGTAAACTGTAAATATAACTTTTAGATACCCTGGGAAAACAAAGCATTTGTGTGACTTTCTTCATTATGATATTTGGTTTATTATTGTGATCTGGAATTGAACCTGCAGTGTCTCTGAGGTATAATAGGGCCAGGACTGGAGGGAAGGGTATGGGGACCTGATTCAGACTTTTCTGCAGGAGATGGTCACAGAAAACGTCTTTGAAGAAGTGTCTGCCTATTTAATAATGACAGTAATCATAAGGTTTTATTGCTTTTATGGATTATATGACTTAATCCTACAAGGAAGGTGCTATTGCTATCTATATTTTACAGATAAGTAAACAGAGGTACAGAGAAATTAAATTCTCAACTCAGTATTGGATTCAAATCTATATAGGCTTCAGAGCCTCCCACTTAACCATGAAGCTACCTTCCACATCAGGGGCCAAATAAATGTCTGTCAGATAGATGGGGATGAGAGGATAGTCAGCTAGATGGCTGACGGAAGGGCGAATGAAGCAGTATTTAAGCAAAGAGCAACTTCCAGGGGTGACGTAAGAATAATCAGTGGGCTTCCTTGGTGGCTCAGTGATAAAGAAGCCACCTGCCAATGCAGGGGACACGGTTCTATCCCTGGTCCGGGAAGATCCCACGCGCCACAGGACAACTAAGACCAGGATCCACAACTAAGGGAGTCCACAACCCGAGCGGCCGCTGCCGTGAGAATCCGGCTCATCGCAGCTGGAGAGGAGCCCCCGCTCGCCACGGCTGCAGAAGGCCTGCATGCCGTAACGAAGACCCATCACAGCCACATACCAAATAAATCTTTAAAAAGAGTTAATGGGGTAGAAAGCAGGAGAAATGGGACAGCTCCTCCCGTAGCCCTGTCTAACAGACGGCGGTAACCCTGTGTGCTATCCACCCGCAGGCTGTGAAGGCGGCTTCCCGTACCTCATCGCCGGGAAGTATGCCCAGGACTTCGGGCTGGTGGAAGAGGACTGCTTCCCCTACACGGGCACGGATTCGCCCTGCAGACCGAAAGACGGCTGCTTCCGCTACTACTCTTCCGAGTACCACTACGTGGGCGGCTTCTACGGGGGCTGCAACGAAGCCCTGATGAAGCTTGAGCTGGTCCATCACGGGCCCATGGCCGTCGCCTTTGAAGTCTACAATGACTTCCTCCACTACCGCCAGGGCGTCTACCAGCACACGGGGCTGCGAGACCCTTTCAACCCCTTCGAGCTGACCAATCACGCCGTGCTGCTCGTGGGCTACGGCACCGACGCGGCCTCTGGGCTGGATTACTGGATTGTGAAAAACAGCTGGGGCACTAACTGGGGTGAGGACGGTTACTTCCGCATCCGCCGGGGGACCGATGAGTGTGCAATTGAAAGCATAGCGCTGGCGGCCACCCCGATTCCGAAATTGTAGGGTGTACCTCCCAGGGTTTCATGCTGACCACAGTCAGCCAGGAAGGGAAGATGCCTTATTCACAGACTGGAGACGTTTACAGTATTGCTCCTGCGGTTGCAAAAGATTATAGATAGCTTCCTGTGAAGATCTGTGCCTTTACAATTAAAAGTGCCCTTGATTTTAAATATACTTTCCCGTTGAACAGCAGTCTGCTTTTTCCTCAGTACTCTGTTCAATAAGATTTTTATGGAGGATGGTGAATGATGAAGTAATGGATTTTGATAATCATTTTGTGATTCAAACACATGATGTATTTTAAAAAAATCTACGTGAATGCACAGGATTATTTTTAAATTGTATAAATTGTGAGAAAATACGACAATGGTTATTAAATTTAAAAAATTTTTGAAAATATTCAAGTGATGTGTATTATTGAATTTATGTATGTGCTTAAGAGAAGTTTTACTCTTGACTCCTTCTGTTATATTTATTTGTTTCATGTATGTAAATACTTGAAAAAGAAAACTCATTTCAGGGCATTTCAACTAAAAACAAGAAAATTATGAAATTTACAGTAGGGGGTATATGCAATTAAAATCTGGTGAACTGTTCCCCGGTGGCTCAGTGGTAAAAAATCTACATGCAATGCAGGAGACTTAGGAGATGCAGTTTCTATGCCTGGATCAGGAAGATCCCCTGGAGGAGGAAATGGCAACTCATTCCAGTATCACTGCCTGGGAAATGCCATGGAGAGAGGAGCCTGGCGGGCTACAGTCCATGGGGTCGCAAAGAGTTGGACATGACTTGGTGAATGAATATGCACGCATGAACACTGAAAAATTACCTCCTGGATATTTGAGGAACCAGGGGTTATAGAGAAAAGAAACTCGAGTTTTGATGAGTCTGGATATTGGTTAACATGTTTCATGGTGTATCTTGCTCTTGAAGGTATTGGTTAGCCTTCATTGCCTGAGCAGTAATACGCTAATAAGTGGAATTTTAACAGTTTAGATTTGGTCAGGTCTTTGGGATCTCCAAGGGATATTTCAGAGATGTGAAACCTCCACACTGAGTAAACAGGTAGGATCCAGTAGAAATGATAGATTAGGCAAAATTAGGCAAATTAGTCAAAGCTCTAAACCATAAATAAGAACCACAAGCCTTCTAGAACTGACAGGCACCCTAGAGATCATGCAGTCTCCCTTTCTCTTAATCAGAAAAAGAAACAGGCTCATTCAGTGGGCAAGTGACTCATCCAAGGTCAAATGATGAGTCTTGTCTAGAACCTAGATTTTCGAAGTCTGGCTCTCCTTGAGTGCCTTAGACACTGAATCTCTGCACTTTCCACCAGAGGATCCAAAATCACCAAGGATACCTGGTGCGTACTTGGAAACTTCACATTGACGTGTTAAGTCTCAGCGCTTTTTTGCATTGCAATTCACTACAATGACATTTTTACTCTTCTTAAACTGAAGCATATTCCAGGAGTTTGCCTTGTGTTTAAAGGGTGGCTCCTGGCACATGGCCATATACCTTTGACCATTTTACCACATGATGACAAAGAGGCAGACACTGGGAATGGCAAGTATAAACAGAGTCCTTATTATCTGGAAGACCTCCAAGGAGATATATTTTCTTTGTTACTGATTGAATGTAATTATAATCCTACTTTATGCCTAGCCTTGTTGCTACATGAATGTGTAAATAGACTTCATAATGAAGCAGGAGTTCATTTTTCACTAAAATTTATAAAGACACTATCAACTTACTCCTAAGATTTTCTTTAACCTGTAAACATGAGCCCACCCTTTGGTTTTCATCTGGATGTCAGTCAGCTGACACGTGGGAGAGCATGTCCAAGCTTTAGCACAATCTCATGAGGGCCCTGGCTGAGCTCTGAAGGAAAATTGTTGCCCATATCATTCATTAAATACTTGAGGAAATATTAAAGGACTAAATACAGCCATGGTCTGGTCTCACAAGCATGGTTAGCTGAGGACAAACAATGGTTTGAAGAGGCCCCAAGTTTTCAGAGATTGCAAGCAGGATCTCCCAGATAGCTCCAATTACACTGCCCTCCAACTTGCATTTTTCTGCTGTGGGACGTCTGCTTTTCCTGTGACTCTACAGGAGAAATATCACCATTTCATGTGCAATGGTGGAATTAATTCAAGATGTTGACTAAATGGAACATCATGGTTCCTCAAGCCATGTCATTAAACTATTAAACTACAAAAAGTAGCTAGTTGCATTATCTAAAACTTCTTTATATTGGTGCTAGCAGAACATATCATCAAAGTCTGTTGAGAAAGTTTGGGAATTCTGGTAAGCCTCCTCAAACACATTCCCGGAAAAGCTCCAGTGGTAATGTGCATTGATGATACCACTGGCCACAAAGAAAAAAATAGCTTTAGCTGGGCAGTCTAGCACAAACTTGATACTGACCCTGGTGCTTTAGTGCCTAGGAAAGATTTCCGGCTCTGCCACATGAGCTGTGAAACCTTGGGCAGCTTACTCAACCTGCCTGTGCATCCGTTTCCTCATCTGTAAAATGGGGATGATGGGATAAATATCTATCCCTGTATGAATGCTTCCTAAACCCTTGCTATTACAATAAAGGAACCAGATGGGTTTGCACTTTTGAATGACATTATTTGCTTTATTTAAGGTCAGGCCTTACCCCATCCCAAGCGGGTAAACGAAGATAAATTCAGATAATGAAGTTTCTCTGACCTTTAAGACTTACTGAACTTACTAACCTGATCTCAGGAACTGAGTAGATTTGGATAGTAAAGGATGTATGTATCTACTCAGAGCTTCGAGGGTTAAATGCCTTCATGAATGGAAAGTATGTATGACAGTGCTTGGAACCCAGTAAGGAGTGTGTGATTATTAGTTACTGCTCAAGTCATCTTTTTCCCAATTCAGATTGTAAAATAATCTTTTGCTTTGGGGAAGCAACTGAGATGTATTTCTTTTTTCTTTTTTTTTTGAGACGTATTTCTGTTAAACAAGCTCAACTCTACTGAGAGGGTAGAGGAGGGGTTTTGGAGATGGTTTTTTTAAAGGGAGTAAAGAACAAACAGAGGAACAAGGCACAGAGAAACCTACAGAGAAAAATCTTCAAAAACTTTGTGAATTAGAGAGACGATTTTGATTTTCTGGTACCGAGGTTTTACATTTCCCACCACGTCCCTGCCTGGCCTGCTGCCTTTGTGGAAAGAAGTGTGACAGGTGATCAGGTGTAGATGGCTACAGCAGAGATGAAAATCAGGCCCCTGCTGAGAGCAAGCAACTTCGAAGCAAGAAAGTCTAAAGGTTAAGCTAAGGTTGTAACAATTTGATTTTTCTAATCGGGATTTTCATGTTAGAATAAGCAACAGGTTCACATAACAATAGAGCTGGTATGCCATCTATTCCACCTCTGTCATTAACATAAAAATGGATTTAGTGAGCTGGACATGCCTAGCTAATAAAGATAAATTTAAACCCCCATGTGTCACAGACTTTCTACTGTACCCGCTGCCTCCCAATTGAGAAAAATGGAGGAGATATAAATGTTATGAGACAAGCTGACCTTGTTCTGTAAAATCATTTCTAAGACCCTTTCCAGTTCTCAGAAACCCTATTCTGAACCCTTGGCGGCAAGTGCTCCAAACTCTAATCCATGTGTGGTGGCTTGGGAAGTTTAATCTTAACAGTTTTCCTCTAAATACAGTGATGTTAATATTTATAAACTGTAATAAAGATTTATTTTTGGACTACAGTTAAGTAGAAACTTCCTGACCAAGACAGGCAAGCTTAAGACACAGATTCTTCAGCTTGATGGCAAGTGCATGGGCTTGAATTTGTATGTTGGTCATGGGTTAGCTAGCGATTGGGCCTTAGTTTCATCAGCTGTAAAATACTGACCTCATTGATTTTTAGTATATGTGCTGCCGAAGCAAGCACCACTGACCTCATTGAACTGTAGTTCTGATTAAAAGTGGATTTGCCTAAAATCGCCTAGACTGTGAAATAATTGAATCCTCAGCCCACATTATGGCTGCTCTGTACAATGTCCTCTTGATGACAGCAAACCAAAGTTGCAGGGGGTAAAACTCCTTGGACAGAACGTGCAACGCATGCCTTTGTTGGTTTCTTCTTTTTCCTTTCAGAAGATCATTTATTAAGATCCCTTTTTCCTACATGAAGAGAAAGCAGAAGTGAAAAATTAAACTTCTCCTTTCCCAATTTTGAGGATGTGAAGCTGATATGTTTTGATTTTGAACTTTCTATCCTAAAAGGCAATTTGTTTTTTGAAATTCAAATTCTTTAGGTGGTTAAACAAGGAAAGACTGTGATGAACTCCGAACTCCCCAAGCTGAGGGGGAAAAAGCAGATGTGTTTCTTCCTCTAATGCAAAAGGTCTAAAGAAATTGAAATCCTCGCAATCATTGGAAAGAAATAAGTTGGAGAAATAACCTTCCCCTGAGGAAATGAAGGAAATGCCAGGAAGCGAAGGTTGTGCATTAAAGTATCATTGAGATGATTTTTTTTTCCTGTAAGGTATTTCTTGCAGCTTCAAAAGTATTGAATAGCTTCAAGTGAAGTATAAGATAAATGATAGAAAATGAATACTTTTAGTATCAGATTTTTCTACCCCCTATTCTCTCATTTGAGGGGTTTCTGGACAGTTAAGAGAAAAGCTTGTTTTCCCTCTAGATAACTGTTCTTATGCCACCATAAGAAATGCACAGTATTCCCAAGAGATAGTAGACACAATCCCAGTTCTGCAGACTAAAATTCAGCAGAGCAATAAGGACAGGTCTATGAAGAGAAAGCAAAATAACACTGTGCCCTGAAAATAGCATGTACTCTGAAATCAGACAGCCTGTGCTCCTCCAGTGATGATTACTTAGACCTTAGTCCAGTCACTGAGCAGAGATCTCTAGTCTTCAGTGTTCACTTGTTAAAAGGTGATACCAGGGAATTTCCTGGTGGTCCAATAGTTAGGACTCAGAACTTTCAGTGCCGTG